TGACTTGATCAGTTCAGTTAAGTTCTCCAAGATCTTGTATGAGTCCTCTTTCGTGGCCCAGGACATCTTTAAGGAGTTCCACTCCGAGGGCAATGCGTCTATCAATCTAGCGCACTTCAGTTCATTTGGAAAAATCACGCCCACATCTGAGAGTCTTTGTAAGATCGTCTCGTAGTCTTTGACGTTGTCGTCAATGGACTTGGCGCTCGTGAATCTGAATGATGAGAACCTGGATATGACGGCCTGTTTTTGAACGCCTGACTGTTTCGCGTATCTGTCTTGGATTCGGTCCCACATGGTTTTTGCTTTTATTGTGTCAGTTTCGTTGTGAAACAAAGTCGACACAAGACTCGAGTGGATGCATCTAAACATGATCATCCTACCCTTTTGGTTTGCCACATCAAACCTTTCCATCGTTTTCTTTTGCTCTTCGGTTGGCGTCTTGCCGGATTCGACTTCCGGGCGTACCAGAGTTCCTTTGATTACATTCCAAACATCGGCTTCATTGGTGAGAAACACACTAACCAGGGACTTCCAACTGTTGTAGTTGTAACCGTTCTCATCTAGCGTGACTGGGCACGTTGGAGGTTTATAGCCTTCGCTATCCGCTGATGATGTAGAACTGGTTGGGGGAACCTCTGGCTTCTTGTCCGGCTTTTTGTCCGCTGCGTCAGCTTCTGACATTTTTAACTTGGTATATTTAAGTCTCTAGATATTCGGGTTGGTACTCACACCTTTGCTCAGTCCTAGTGCTTATCGTGCTGATAACGTGAAGAGATTGTGGGACCTTTTCTATGGCCGTACTCACTGAGGACACCAACGTTCAATGAAGAGACCTTTACTACACAGCCACAGTTCCAGCTTGAGAGCTGAGAACCCAGTGTTTATTAGAGTGATCAGTACCTGTATATATACCTTCACCAGAAAATAGGGAGAGAGTATTTCTAATGTGAGGCCTCTTCTACGTGAGGCACTCTTTCTACGGATGCAAGCCTGAGTAGGGGAATACCTATTCTCAACAGGAACCTCGGAGTCTCTCTTCCCAGCAATCCTCTAGCTAGCAAGATTGTTTCTTTCAGATCAAAGTCTAATGCCGGTCTCACATAACCCCCCCTCAGGATCGAACCGTCTCGGTTCGCGTTACCTAAGTTAGGAGTTGATGAGCCGAGTCGGTGGTTTCCTACTTCTTTCCGGGTTTCGTCGGGTCGGTGCGCTGCAGGTTGTTGCCCCGGTGTGAGCTGGTTTGTGGATTGTTTCGAAGGAGTTGGATCCTTCCGCCTTCTCTCTCAGCTTCTGTAAGGTGGGATCCTCAAGGTGTGCCTGCGCTAGGTCGACCAGGCTGAGAGCGTTGATGTGGGTTTTCGCCAACGGTGGGCCTGATGGAAGAGCTGGGTATCGTGATAAGCAGTCGGCATCTAGATGTTTCCAACCTTGCTTATACATTACCGTCATGTCATGTTCTTGTAGGAGCTGCGGGTTCATGGCCTCTTCCAGCTTGGCGTCGAGAGTGTGGTGGGATCCTTGTTTCCTTGTCGTCGGTTTTTCAATGGCGGCGACGGCTCGACTTTCATGTCTCCCCGCCGTTTCCTGCCTGAGTGCTATGTGCATGCCTATGGGTAAAGTGATCCGCTCTTTGGTATGGTTCTCGACGAGGACGGTTGAATTTGCGTCAGGGAGGACTTCACTCGTTGGATCTTCTTCGTGTCGTCGATGTTGTTGTAATGAGCCGCGTAATTGAAGTCCTTGAGCCAGCGTTCTCCGTGTCCGTCGAATGTGGGGAGATCCATTGGCAGTGGAGGAGCCGCGACTTGAACTGCTACCGGGGTTGGGCTGAGGGTCGTCTGCAGGGCCCGGACCTGTTCTTGGAGCGCGAAAACTATCGCCTGCAATTGTTGGTTCGTCAGTAAACCCATGGCCTGACCTGGGATGGGCTGTTGAGGGTTTGGTATGGTGAAGAGCTGTTCCGATCCTGCCGAGTCATCGTAGGTGTAACCCGTGTTCTCGGTTTCTGTGGTGAGAGCAGAGGCTTGTTCTGGGTGATCCGTGGCGACTTCGTACTGGGAAGAGCTGGTCTCCGTCGATGGTGGAGGAGCAGGTTGACCCGACGTTGAGGGTTGGAGCGGCTCTTGGGGCTGTTGATCCACTTGCGGGTCCGTCGCAAACCGCGTGTTGTAGCCGTGGTGAGCTGTTGGAGCCGGTGAATGTTCCACTGGCATGATGAGCGTTGTTGGCACGGTTTTCGAACCACAAATCTCCACCAACTGTAGTGCTGACGTCTTTCAGTCAACACGCACAGGTTTTGGTAGGAGCACTCTTGTACTCTATTCTCGGAGCAGCGTCGGGGCTAGGGAGACCGCCGTGCTGTAGCGCGCGAGTAGAAGTGTTCTCTCCGGTCACATGCACGTCCTCTTGTAGAGATCTGCTGCCCTCTCCAGTAACGAGAATAAATCCCCCGGACATTTCCGGTTCTCTGTGTGGGAACCTCGGGGTCTCTCTTCCTAGTAATCCTCCAGCTAGCAACAATGTTTCTTCCAGATCAAAGTCTAAAGCCGGTCTCACAATATGCAGCTACCTCGCCTAACACTTGCTTCTTGATGACTTCATTGCAAAATGCTTTGACTTTGAGCTGGAAAACACGCGCGATCAAATCGGGTCGGTCAGAGCTTGTTTGACCGGGTGCGAGGTTGTCGACGATTTCTGGCCAGGTAGGGTTGCATGTGAAGGTAAGGAACAGGTCTGGTTTTCCGTATTTTGACACGATACTCATAGCATCCTGGTATTGCGCTACCATATATCGGGGTCCTCCAGTAAAGGATGCCGCTAGAATGATTCTCCGGCCCGGTGGTCCATCACCATCGGTATCACCGAGCATGAAATCCTGCAGGCCGCGAACGGTGTCAAGCCTAAGTTGACGTTGATTGAGGCGGATATAATTGAGACGGTTCATCTCGATCTTAATCCAACTGTCAACGATGTATTGCTGTAGAAGTTTACCCGCGTGATGTAACGGATTGAAGACCGAATCCCGACTGAACAGCAGGAATGAGTAGAAGTCTTTTTGGGTGATTCGAGATCTCGTGGTCGAAACGCCATTTGAACGTAAATCCAGGTTTGATGTGTCCCGCTGCATCTCGGGATTCCACCCGTCTTCCCCAGTAGGGAACAACAATGGATACGTGAGAGGGTCACAACGCTTATCGAGATGAGGAATACTGCGAAGACTACCGGTTTTTTCATACACAACCAAGCGACGTTCTCCTGGGATGTTGTCTTCATCTCCTACGTAGACGACGGCGACTTCATTGGCTGTGGCAGCATTGTAACGACGTTGATCGTCGACCGTCCTGTGTTCGAACACCATTCTAACCGATCGCGTACGGCGACCCTGGAGCTGTGCTTCGTGCGTTTCATCGTGAACGACATCGGCCATTAGCCTGAATGCTTGAACATAAGGATTAGTGTTCCTCAAGAGCTCATGGAGAAACCGAAAGATTGTCGCGCGGCAGTTCGCGTTGATTTGTCGACCTGCGAGTTCGAGGGCTGCCACTTCAGTGTCCATAATTAATACTTGAGCACATTGAGGCGCTTCAGTATCGCGGGGATAGAGTCCTCCAAACGAATGGTAAACTTGGCCGTGGACGCGGAAGCAATACGGTCCGTACCCTCGAGGCGGCTCAATCATAGCCGTCATAGAAGCCATCGCCAGTGAGTTGTTGTAGTTTCTAATGTACTGTCGGAAATGCTTGGAATCGTCGTCTTGACCAAGGTAGAGTGATCGCAGTGCCGTTGGAAAGTTCCGGAAACGACTCAATCGGATTTCGTTTGACACACAGCACATTGTATAAGCATTCTGTCCGGTGGTAGTTTTTTCAGCTAAAAAATGTGCGGCCTCGCATCCGCCACAGATATCGTCCATTCTACCCAGATTGTGTGCGGCAGAAGGCCGATGTTGTTTCTCTCGAGCTATACTGAGCATTCGCTGAGTTCGACGCGTATCTGCTGCGGCCCGAGCAATCCGATGATGTGCAGCATCATTAGCACGATCAGCAAGGATATCCGCTGAGGTCCGCCGAGCACGGGTCCCAGTTGATGCAAGGCATCAACTGAACGCCGAGCTTCTGCTTCTGACTCGCCGCAACGACTCCGTCGCGTAAAATGAGTTCGCACATTGGATTCTCGGGGAGTTTCCTGAACGCTAACAATTAGATCTTCGATCTCCAGAGAGGGTCCCGGAGTTTGGGTCTCCAGAGAGGGTCCCGGAGTTTGGGTCTCCAGAGAGGGTCCCGGAGTTTGGGTCTCCAGAGAGGGTCCCGGAGTTTCGGTACGCTTTCGGCTTCGTTGACCGATTCGGCGCCTCCTGCCAACTTTCGGCATGAAGATTCTTCGATGACAGACCCAACAAAAGTCGATCCCACGGCTCTAGCGAGCAAAGCGAAAAGTTTGGTAGGTGAACGCGGGCAATGCTTGATTCATTGTCGATGAGAAACAATTAAAAGATCGAGAGCCAAAATGTTTTTGCAACAGGACGAAGTTTCCTTCACTTATCATCATCGAGAGTTTCCTTGTAATGATGATGATGACATCATAGTGAAGAGGCTATACATTTTGTGAAAAATAACGAATACTGGAGAAACACGTAAATTTGACGGAAAACACGCGGCTAAGCAGTTAGAAAAGTATATCTTGACCTCACTGGAGTGATTGCGCATCGTTCGCGAAAATTTGAGGTCTGTTCGGAGGTGCAGAGCGCTAAAAAAAGGGTCCGGTGTCAGACAGACATTGCGCTTTTATTATATAGGGGGATATACTAGCGCCCCCGGACTTTTCTGAGGGAGCCGCCGAACCTGGTAACTGCGGCTCCCCTAGGGGCCGCGGGACTTTCCTGGGGGAGCCGCGGACGAATTTGTGGTGAACGTCCGGGCCGTCAGGGTTTGTCAATTCCAAGGGAAGGTTCCGGAACGGATCGACTTCATCTGCCACGGTAGATGTAGTAGGTAGGAGCCGCGGGAGCCGGGTGGGCACTGGGTATCCTGGGAGCCGCGTGGGCACTGGGTATCCTGGGAGCCGCGTGGGCACTGGGTCCGCTAGGGAGCCGCGGAGCCAAAAAGGTTGGGGACCGATGCGCTAGACTCACTACACATGCGCTAGCTGCGAGTGCGCTGGCTCCGGGTGCGCGTCCCGTTTCCCCGCTTTCCCGTTTCCCCGCTTTCCCGTTTCCCTGCATTCCCGTT